TTTTTTTTTTTTTTTTTTTTTTTTTTTTTTTGTAAAATATGTAGATAATTTTTTAATTTTTATTTTAATGCTGGTATTGAGGCTTTATTTAAATTATTATTTATTTAACATATATCTTGCCAGAGAAAAATTTTTTTTAGTCAGTTACTCACTCAGTATGACAATTTTTTTCAGTAAGTATACAGTTGTTTTGACAATTTTAAGAAAACCGGGCTTCTCATTTTTTGTCTGTCACCATTCTTCTTGTTTTTGCTATTCTATTTTTTTCATTTCTACCAGTTAAAAAACAAAGAAGTTTCTCAGACAGAGAGCCTTAGCGTTTTTAGAACAGAAAGCCAAAATAAGTTTCACGGAAGCGGTAAAACACGGCAATTTCAACTTGAATTCATTCTACAACAGTCAAAAAAGCCAAATTTCACTGAGTTTTTTCTTATTAAAGACATCAAGTTCAAGATGAATCATTTCTTTGGCTGTTGTTTGCTTCTGTTGATAGCGATCTAAGACGATATTTACGAGTTGACTGCACCAATATCATCATCTATTATCTTTAAACTGTTTTTTATAATTGCGTCTTCTTAATTTTTTTATTTTTTCTTCTCTATTTTTTATCTCAACTATAGTTTCTTATGTGGAAAACTAAAAAAATAATTTATTTAAACAACTTAGAAGGGGTGGTAAAATGATTGTGAACGTGAAGTTTTAGTTTCAGTCGCGAAGTACTACGTCAGAAAACTTGCGACAAGCTCCGGCAGCCGATAGTTCAACGTTGCTCTCGATGAACAACGAATCGACAAAAGAAGGCGAAATGGTACCTCAGCCAAGCACTTCGAACGAAGAAATCAAATCTAAGGCATCTCAGGGGCAGGGGAATCAGCAGACTGTAAATACTTTCCCAGGAGGGTCAGTGCAACCTTTTAACCTGTTGTAATTCTCCTCTGGTTTTGTTTATCTTAACAGTCACAAAAGACTTGAGATAGCTAACGACTTTAATGACTTGTGATCTGAGAAGGATTAAGAGTGACCTGTTAGTAGTGCATTTGGGAGGACAGCGTCGGGGTGTTAGATGGGATTGGTTTGGATTTCATCTGAGACATAGTTTCTGATTGGGGTTATGAACAGAGAGGAAGGTTCTTTTGATTGTAAGAAACAGTTGTTTCTAACGCAGTGAGGATTTTTATTAAAAACCACGTTTTTTAGGCACTCTGAAAATGACACTTTTACAAATATTATTCCGAAGATCATTTTTACTGGTCAAACACCAACGACTTAAAAGAAATATTTTAACTGCGATTAAATTAGCAAAACGTCAAAACCGTAGGTGATATAGAACTAGTAAATGTGCTAAACCACTGCAAATAGTTTAAAAGAAAACTGCTTACTAAGCAATGATAAAAGAACTTAATTGTGACAGGTGTTCATAGGGTTTTGAACTGCCGAGGTTTCTGCGTCAGATGACTTATTTTTAGCAGTCGTCAATTTTGAAAAAGTTTTACCCAATCATGTTGATAATTTCAACCTTTAATTTTTTGTGGTTACAAACGGCAAAAATGAAAACAAAAACAACATTTTCAATAAATGTTTCATTTTGACGCAACTAATATCATATATTAACTTGCAGTTTCACTTCAATGGGAAGTCCAACAATGCCACATTCTCAGACATGGGCCCCTCTGACAATCCCTCCATTTCAGTCAGTGCAGTCGCTTGACAAACCACCTGTTCAAGCAACAAATCCATTTTATCCGGTAAAAGCATCTTTCATACTTAATCTTCTAGAATCGTCGTTGTATGAACGGTTCTGACTTTATGGCTGACAAAATTAAACTTTTATTTGTTTTAATAATTTTCTACACAGTTTAATGAGTGATAACCAGTAAGTTTATATCAATTAATCAGTTTTGATTTATTAGATGCCTTTAATTGGTCCTTCAACGTCTTACCCATATGCACTGAGTACAGCACTAATGATTCCTCCTTATGCGACTTTACCATTCCCTCACCAGCTTTTATCTGAGCAACAGATCTCTCCTCCCAATCAGAGGTTACCAGAAAAACCTTATGATGCCACTGATCTTTCGGCGTTACAGCTAACTATGTCATTAGATCAGGTAATTGATTGAATCAGTCAGCTATACTGTTGAGTGCATTCTATGCTTTGCTTGATAATTTTATATGTAGTATTTAAGTGTTATTAGAATATCAGAAAAGCATAAAAAACAAAAGATAAGCAGTTTTTTAGTATAACCAACATTTAATACGGTCTCAGCTAGATCAGGCGCAACAAACAGCTCAGGTGGCCAGCTGTCAGGTGCAACTTTTACGAGATCAGCTTACCACTGAAACTACAGCACGTATTGAGGCTCAGGTTTGCATAAATAGTGACTGTATTTTGATTTTTTTTTTTGATTGTTATGCTATGCTGAACCATAATAAGAGTGTGTAACTAAAGTTGTACAAATATCGAGTTGTTGATTTTAAAAATTGAACATTTTTTTCCTCATTATTTTCTGATAGTTTTAGACTAGAACACATCAGTTGTTAAATGCAAATCGTGAACTGCTGGAACAAGTACAAGCACTAGTCGGTCGACTTCAACTTCTTGAGTCTAAAATTGCAGCCGATATTCAGGGAACTGAAAAAGATACTGTAAGTTGTAAAAATTAATTTATCACTTTTCTTCTTACAAATGCATATGTTGCAGTAGTTTTGATGTGTAGATATTGCGTTCAATACATCCAGTTTTATTGCTTTTGTTGGTTTAACATCAATTTGTGAAAAGCTAAAACAGTTTAGAAAAATTTTTGTTGAAAAAGGACTATCAAGTGACAGTATAATGAAAAGAAGAAATTTTTTGCTGCGAAATGTCGAAACTTTAATACTGCAACAAGATTAACATCTTAGATGGACCCACGAGTACCACTAGTACCGACTTTGCCTCAAGCAGTACCAACTCAATCAACGTCTGCTGCTGATACAACTCAGAAGAGCAAAAATCAAGAAGCCCCCTATACGCTACAGAATCGCTCTGGTTTGAACTATATGCCGACGTCAATGACAACCGATTCTCTCAAAATCTATCAAGTAGACATTTTGCTTTTAAAATTCACACAGTTTTTGTATATAAGGGATTTTATTAGGTAACGAATGAAGAGACCAGTAACGATGCTGATTAGATCTCATTTTTAGAAGCTTTTTGGAACTTTTTCGACATGTGTAGTTTTTCAGCTGAAACCGTTAGCGGATTTGCGAGCCGGCTCGTTGCCTCCCAAAACTGGTGACAGTGAAGATGAAAGGAGAAAACGAAAAGATGACGCCGACAAAGGGGGTGCAAAAACTGAGCCTGAAAGTGCTACTGAGGTGGGAAACATCACAATTGGAAATACTCTATGCTGCAGAACTTTTAACCTTTCTGCAGTTTATCAAGCAAAAGAAGTTTTTTTTTAAATGATCTACTTGAAGAAATTGAAAACTGTGGAGGAAATTGGCAGTAAGAACAGTATGTTGCCAAATTGTATATATTAAACCTTTAAATGTTTTTTTCTGCGCTTATCTTCAAATGTT